AGGCGCGGAGGGCGCGTTACGGAGGGCGCGGAAGGCGCGATACGGAGGGCGCGGAGGGCACTTGGGCGCGTAACGAAGGGCGTGTAAGGTGCGGAGGGCGCTAGGGCGCATGATGGAGGGCGCTAGGGCGCGTGACGGAGGGCGCTAGGGCGCGGAGGCGCGCTAGGGCGCGTGACGGAGGGCGCGTAAGGCGCGGAGAGCACTAGGGCGCGTGACGGAGGGCGCGTAAGGCGCGGAGGCACGCTAGGGCGCGGAGTGTTAGAATCTTAGGCAAGGTGAGGTTGGACTATCGAGAGTTTTGGTACAAAAGGAAAACCTAAGGGGTTGTACCCCACAGTGAGTACCCCACTAAAGCCTACCTAAATTATCACATTTAAACATATGTTTGACACACCCCCATAGGCAAAGTGGGGGAGAACAGAGGGTCACAAGGCCAGACAGCAAGTGCAAAACAAGCTCAGGGTGGATCACAACGTCACCACGCAGTCTGAGCACAAGCAAAAGGCCACAAGGCCAGTTCACATGCAGAGATATATGTGTAACAACAACAGCACAGTGATATCTACCTACAAGAGCAAGCATGCAGGTATACATATAGATCACAGTACAAACAAAGCCTACAGCAAGTGAGGAAGCGTGGGAACAAGGCCTAACAAAGTGCAGAAACGCTGATGATCACCAGGCAGAAGCGCCTTGGTGAATATATCAGCAGTGTTGGCCCGAATGGCCACGTAAGCAAGACGAAGCTGGCCACGCTGCTGCAGCTCTCGAGCAAGGAAGTAACGTAGAGCGATGTGCTTCGTTCTGTGCTCCAGTCTGTGCTCCTGACACAAGGCAATGGCAGCCTTGTTGTCGACGTACAGAACTGGAGGAGAACGAGGCCGCTCTCCCAAGTCGGTAAGCAGGTAGGTGAGCCAGCGTAGCTCCTGTGCAGCCATGGCCGTGGCGTAGATCTCGGCCTCACAGCTGGAGCCGAGAACTGAAGACGAACGTGTAGAACGCCAGGAAACTGAACCAGAGCCAAGGCTGAAGGTGTAACCCTGTGACGACCGCTGCGTAGCCTGGTCGTCAACCCAAGAGGCGTCCGAGTGACCAGTGAGGACAACGTCACCCCGTCCTCCAAGCACGAGCCCCATGCCCGATGTACTGCACAAGTAGCGTAGTACCCTCTTGGCAGCATCCATGTGCACCTTTCGGTGCCGACCAGGAGCCACGTAGCGAGCCAGAAGGCCAAGAGGGTACGCAAGGTCAGGACGAGTGCAGGTCATCAGGTACATGAGGCAGCCCACTAGCTCTGGGTAAGGACCACTCGGCTCTACGGACTCGTCCGAAGGTGGAGCTGAGAGCGAGTGACCTGTAGCCAGAGGAGTGGCCTGTGCTGAGGACCAGGTGAAGCCGAAGCGCTGAAGGACCTGCTGCACCATGTGTGACTGAGTCAGTGTGATGGTGCGGCGTGCTCTGTCCCGGGTGATCTGCAAGCCAAGATAGCTGCGCAGTTCACAAAGGTCTGTGCACGTGTGTCTCTTTTGCAGCTCCGACTTCACCAGGGCGAGAGCCTCAGTGTCAGCAGTGGCAAAGACCAAGTCGTCGACGTACACGAGGATGTAGAACGGTGGCAGCGAAGTGTCGGTGTGCAGAAACAGCGACGGGTCAGCAGTCGACGGAGCAAACTCAAGAGCCGCAAGTGTCGTCCTCACTGTGTCGTGCCACTCACGTGGCGCCTGGCGGAGACCGTAGACCGGCCACCGGAGGCTCCACTGGGTACCAGGAGGGAACGACCCAGTGAAGCCAGGAGGGCGGCGCAGCCATATCTCCTCGTGCAGGCTGCCCTGTAAGAAGGCTGTGCTGAAGTCAAGAGAGTGAAGCTCGTAGTCACGCTGAGCGGCAACGTGTAGCAGCACCCGAAGAGTGGTCATCTTCGGGGTGGGGGAGAAGGTCTGGAAGAAGTCAACTCCCTCTCGCTGACTGAAGCCTCGAGCCACGTAACGAGCCTTGAAGACAGGCGGAGAACCTGGCGGCCGCTTCACCCTGAAAATCCACATGCCACTGACAATGTTCGCCCCAGAGGGGGAACCTCATCGACGTAGGTGCCTGTAGACTTCCAGGATGCCATCTCTGCGTCCATGGCTGTCTGCCACTGAGAGGAGTACTCACCCGCGATTGCCTCAGCGTAAGAGCGCGGGGTAGGGATGTCTGGTGCATCCGGGTCTCCCTCAGGGGCAAGCAGCATGGCCACGAGATTAGGCGCAGCGGCTGCAAGACACTCAAGGTCCTCCTGCCTGTCCTCAAGGACGTCCGTGCCAAGAGCACACTCACCCCCGACGGACGGAGGAGAGACAGACTCAGACTCTGCAACAAGACTGGCGGCGTAGTCGAGACGACAGGTAGCAGCAAAGTCAACAAGCTCAGCGACTAAGGCAGACGCAGCAGTAGACTCAAATGACGGGTCAGTGACAACAGTGGCAAGCAGACGCGTGACAGTAGAGTGCTCAGCACAAAACTGGTCAGACGCAGGGTCAGCAACGACAGGCAGAGAGGACGCAGGGGGGGATGGCAGAGGAACACGCAGCGGAGGAGAGGAAGGACGACGAACTACAAGGTGAGGGCCGGAGACAGCCGGCTGCCGCTGACGAGGAACACGACAACCGGAACGACCAGAACGGACAGGTGAGACAGGATGCGACGCAGGCTCACGACGCTCAGCAAGGCCCCAGTCTGCTCTGTGTACGGAGAAGGAGCAGGCAGCGGTGAGCCAGGCTGTAACGGAAGACCAGTAGACGAGGGAAGACTGAGAACCTGGTGAAGTGCAGAGTCAGGTGGTGGCTGAGACGACGGAGATGGCGGAGCGAAGAACAGGCGCGGCTGAGCAGTGCCACCAGCACCAGCAGCTCTAGCACCTCCAGCAGCTCCAACAGCTCCAGCACCTCCAGCAGCTCCAGTACCCTCAGCAGCTCCAGCACCGCCAGTAGCTCCAGGACCCTCAGCAGGTCCAGTACCTCCAGCAGCCCCAGTACCCTCAGCAGCTCCAGCACCGCCAGCACCTCCAGCAGCTCCAGTACCTCCAGCAGCTTCAGCACCCTCTGCAGCTCCAGTACCCTTAGTCACAACACCGCCAGCCCCAGCAGCTCCAATACTCTCAGTACGAGCACCTCTGGGACCAGCGACACCAGTAGAAGAACCCCCAGCAATAGAGCCCTGAGGTGCAGAAGCGCGACGCTGACGGCGACCGTACCAGTCGTGCAGCTGCTGGGAGGTGAGGGGCACACGCGGACGAAGACGGCTACCCCAAGGAGACCGCGTAAAAGCAGTCTCAGAACCCTTAGGCGACTCACCCCCAGACTCAGCACCCCCAGGCTCCGCACACGCAGGCTCAGCACCCCCAGACGCAGCACCTCCAGACGCAGCACCCCCAGACGCAGCACCTCCAGGCTCCTCACGCGCAGGCTCTGCACCTCCAGGCTCCATACACTCAGCGCCCCCAGACTCAGCACCCCCAAACTCCGCACCCCCAGGGACAGCACCACTCCCAGCAGGACCGGAGTCACCAGTGACCTCAACAGGCGCAGGCGCGGGGGGGGTCTACCTGAGGACCTCATTTCTGACCTGCGCGCTACTGACACTCGCTTTCGTGCCACCCTTTCAGCCGAGTTCTGCCCCCCCCCCCCCCCCTCCCCATGTCGGAATCCCAACCACTAGACCATTGGGATAAAATTGCTTGTTAAGTAGCGGGTCAGTGCGCCCATAACCCCCCAGGACAACGAGCCTGTAACCCTTCCCTAGGATCAATCGGGGATCACCAGTGGACCTCTGACACCCCCCCGCACTGGGATGCCCGAAGTGCACTCATTGGGATTCGAACCCGAGACCTTCGCTCTGATACCATGTTAAAATCTTAGGCAAGGTGAGGTTGGCTATCGAGAGTTTTGGTAGAAAAGGAAAACCTAAGGGGTTGTACCCCACAGTGAGTACCCCACTAAAGCCTACCTAAACTATAACATTTAAACATACGGTATGTTTGACACGGAGGGCTCGAGGGCGCGAGCTAGGCTATGCTAGGCAAGGATTCTAAACCTACTCGTGCTACCATCTCAGAAATAGAATGCAACGGAATGATTGAACTAGAGAAGCAAGGGATACAAATTGCAACCTTAAACGTGTTGTACTCCCTAGAGTGCTACTCAATGTAGCCTAAGAACATATAATAACATTTGACACCATGCATACATCAAAAGTACCGTACATCTTAAAGTAAATCACACAAAGGAATCACTCGTTGAATCCAAAGAACATCACCTTGTGAAGATTGAATACATTAGAACACGCTGAAAATCCGGTTGTCGAAGCATATTGTGCTGAATATCAGAGACATGGCGATTCTACATACAAAGAATGCATATGGAGGAAACCGCTGAGAAAACGGCTCTCTCTAATAGAAATTATTATCATAGGAGGGATCAAAGTGTGTAGATTAGGACTCCAAACACCACATGGTAATATATAGAAGAATTCAATGGCTCTATTTACAATATGAATCTATCATCCTGCACTCCCATAATTTTCAACACAGTCCAAGGCGGTGTAGCGGGTTAGCCCTCAACCCAAGAACACCGCTACTGGTCCCTTCCTCAAGGAATATCAGGTTCTGTCAATCTCCGTGATGTTTAGACCGTTGGATCTGCTGATTTGGTCGAACCTCCACGTCAGCTTTCCCCTTCAGCGCCCTTGTTGAGGGAATCCCCCCTGCTCCCCGCGCCAGCGTTGCTGCTGACGTGTGGGATACGCGGCGGAATCTTTGGCACATGGGCTGCTGGGGGAGCGGGGAATGAGCGAGGGGGTTTGGGCTGGGAGGGGTTGAAGCCTCCTAACGTCCTCTTCAACATTCCTCTTTTCTCATTTCTCTCTCGGATCTCTTAGCTCCGCTGGGAGTAGAAGCTCACGTTCGCTTCTTGACAAATCGTCCCTCTTTGCCCCCGTGGCTGGTACCCTGCTAATCAGCCAAGATGGTACGTCTCGTCCGTCGTCATACCTTCAGCATTCGTGTGCTGTCACGATGATTCCGTGATTATTCTGGATTCCGTGATTTTTCTGGATTCCGTGCTTGCCAAGGTATCTAATGTATTCCGACTGGTCGACTTTACTTGCCCATGTGTCGTGCAACTGCAGGTGAAGTTCACGTTCGAGGATTTGCGCGCGATCATGGACAAGAAGAACAACATTCGTAACATGTCCGTGATTGCGCACGTGGACCACGGTAAGCTCATCGGTGCCTTTGTGGGTTCCCTTTCTGAAGATCGAGCAAACGAAGATGGGGTTTGGGGTTGGATTCTTCACAGGTCAAAGGGCTCATGATTATTCACTTGGTCGTTTTCACCCCTTTTCTCCACCTCTTTGCTTTCCGATTCACTTGCTCACCCCGCTTCCCTTTCCCCCAACTCCCCTACTCCCGTGACATTATCACCCTTGCCTGTCTACCTTTCACATAGAGGCTTGGATATCGTACTTATTTAGCGTTTAGTTTTCTCGTTTCACGTCTGTGTCAGTAGAGCACGGAGTGACTCAATTCCTATGAGGTCATCCGCACAGCATTTTTCGCCTTGTTCCAGATTTGTCTAACGGGATCGTTACTCTGCGTATTCTGACTTGATTTTCAGGCAAGTCGACTCTCACCGACTCGCTCGTGGCTGCTGCTGGTATCATCGCGCAGGAGACTGCCGGTGACGTTCGTCTAACAGATACCCGCGCCGATGAGGCCGAGCGCGGTATCACCATCAAGTCTACTGGCATTTCGCTCTACTACCAGATGACCGAGGAGGAGCTGGAGGGTCTGGAAGGCGTCAGGGACGGCAACGAGTACCTGATCAACCTGATTGATTCGCCCGGCCACGTTGACTTCTCGTCCGAGGTCACTGCTGCTCTTCGTATCACCGACGGCGCGCTCGTCGTCGTGGATTGCATCGAGGGTGTGTGCGTGCAGACCGAGACCGTGCTGCGCCAGGCAAGTCCACTCGTCGCTAATCATTAGTTCGCTTTCAATCCGTTTGCTGCCTCATCGGTCTATCTAACACGACACATGCTTGCTGCAGGCCCTTGGTGAGCGTATTCGGCCAGTCCTGACCGTGAACAAGATGGATCGCTGCTTCCTGGAGCTGCAGCTCGACGGCGAGGAGGCCTACCAGGTTCGCATCTTCTTAGCTTCACTCGCGACGTAGAATCTGACTCATCCGCTGAGATATTTGGTTATCGTGTGCTATCATGTTCTCATACCCTTTGGTTTTGAATTCGTGTTCTCTGCGCAGACGTTCCGTCGTGTGATTGAGAACATCAACGTCATCATGGCCACGTACGAGGACAAGCTGCTCGGCGATGTCATGGTGGCGCCCGAGAAGGGTACCGTGGCGTTCTCCGCGGGGCTGCACGGGTGGGCGTTCACGCTGACCAACTTCGCCAAGATGTACGCTGAGAAGTTCAAGGTGGACCGCGCGAAGATGATGGAGCGCCTGTGGGGTGAGAACTTCTTCGATACCGCCACCAAGAAGTGGACCACCAAGAACACCGGCTCGCCCACTTGCTCTCGTGGTTTCGTCCAGTTCTGCTACAACCCCATCAAGCAGGTTCGTCGTAGATCTTTGTGCGTTTGGTTGGTTCTGCCCGTCTACTTGCCCTAACTCGAAGTAATAACACGGGTTCCTTGTTTCCATGGCGCAGGTTATCTCGGCGGCGATGAACGACGAGAAGGCGAAGCTGTTCCCCATGCTGGAGAAGCTCAAGGCCGTGCTGCCCAGCGACGCCAAGGAGCTGTCCGGCAAGCCGCTCATGAAGCGTACCATGCAGGCGTGGCTGCCCGCCCAGGCGGCGCTGCTGGAGATGATGATCTTCCACTTGCCGTCCCCCGCCAAGGCGCAGAGGTACCGTGTGGAGAACCTGTACGAGGGTCCCCTGGACGACCAGTACGCCAATGCCATCCGCAACTGCGACCCCGAGGGTCCGCTCATGCTCTACGTGTCTAAGATGATTCCCGCCTCCGACAAGGGTCGCTTCTTTGCGTTCGGGCGTGTGTTCGCCGGTAAGGTGGCGACGGGCATGAAGGTGCGCATCATGGGCCCCAACTACGTGCCCGGCAGCAAGAAGGACCTGTACGTCAAGTCCGTGCAGCGTACCGTCGTGTGGATGGGACGCAAGCAGGAGTCGGTGGAGGACGTGCCCTGCGGTAACACGGTGGCCATGGTGGGGCTGGACCAGTTCATCACCAAGAACGCCACGCTCACAGGCGAGAAGGAGGTGGACGCGCACCCCATCAAGGCCATGAAGTTCTCGGTGTCGCCCGTTGTGCGTGTGGCCGTGCAGTGCAAGGTGGCGTCCGACCTGCCCAAGCTGGTGGAGGGGCTGAAGCGCCTGAGCAAAAGTGACCCCATGGTGGTGTGCAGCATTGAGGAGAGCGGCGAGCACATTGTGGCCGGCGCTGGCGAGCTTCATCTCGAGATTTGCCTCAAGGATCTCCAGGTCAGTCTTGCTTACCTTGTCATTGTGTCCATGCAAAACGTGTAGACTTGTTTTTTTCCGTGAACTCAGCACCCGGCGTTGCCCTCGTTGTTGTGTGTCTCTCTTCAGGATGACTTCATGGGAGGAGCTGAGATCATCATCTCGGACCCTGTGGTGTCCTTCCGCGAGACTGTGCTGGACCAAAGTGAGCGCACCGTCATGGCCAAGTCGCCCAACAAGCACAACAGGCTCTACTTCCAGGCCAGGCCTCTGGAGGACGGTCTCGCTGAGGCCATCGACGATGGCCGCATAGGCCCCCGCGACGACCCCAAGGGCCGTGTTGAGATCCTCACCAAGGAGTTCGGGTGGGACAAGGAAATTGCGCGCAAGATTTGGTGCTTTGGGCCTGACACCCTGGGGCCTAACATCATTGTGGACATGTGTAAGGGAGTGCAGTACCTGTCTGAAATCAGGGAGCATGTGGTGGCTGGTTTCCAGTGGGCCAGCAAGGAGGGTGCTCTGGCGGAGGAGAACATGCGTGGCATTGCGTTCGAGCTGTACGACGTGGTGCTGCACACTGACGCCATCCATCGCGGTGGTGGCCAGCTCATCCCCACTGCCCGCCGTGTGTTCTACGCCGCGCAGCTCACTGCCAAGCCGCGCCTGCTGGAGCCCGTGTACCTGGTGGAGATCCAGGCGCCCGAGGGTGCTCTCGGTGGTATCTACTCCACGCTGAACCAGAAGCGTGGGCAGGTGTTTGAGGAGATGCAGAGGCCGGGTACGCCCCTGTACAACATCAAGGCGCATCTGCCTGTCATTGAGAGCTTTGGCTTCTCTGCTCAGCTGCGTGCTGCCACGTCTGGGCAAGCGTTCCCGCAGTGTGTGTTTGACCACTGGGAGATGCTCATGTCGGATCCCCTGGAGCCTGGCACCCAGTCGTTCAAGATTGTGGAGGATATCCGTAAGCGCAAGGGCATCAAGCTTCAGCCTCCTCCCCTCTCCGAGTGGGAGGACAAGCTGTAAGCTCTGCCTTGCTCTGTGGAGGCACTGCTTGCAACTGGCTGTTGGGGTGGTGGCTTTCATGTCTGGTAGGGGTTTGCTTCTGGTCTGAAAGGGAACTTCCAGATAGTGTGTTCTGCTACAGCTGCTGTGGGGGATGTTGTTGGCATGTTGCTGTGTCATGCATCCACTTTTGCTCTTTAACATTGCAAGACCTTGATATGCTTCTGCGCTATTTGTTTGAACTCGATGTTGGCATTCCTGTCATGCTCATTGAATCTGTCGTATACAGACGAGTCCCACGAGTCCCATGTTAAGTCTACCTCCACCAGTGATTATCCGGTCTGTTGGGTCTTTAATGATTACTTGAACTTATAGAATTTGGAACCTGTTCAATAAAAAGGATAATTTTGTAGCCTGTAAAATTTCAGAGACGCGCCTCGATACTGTCAGAATTCCAGGGTATTGTTTGCGTGGATACTGTCGTGAGACTGGGCAAAAAGGTACAGAGGCATCACAACTGCTTCAGAATCTGCGACGGCTGGAAGAGAGCTTTGGGATAAACTATCTGTGCCGCTTGCCATGTCTAAGCAGCAGGAACACAGCATAGCGTGCGAGGAGGCAAGCTCCGCAGACGTAATGGGCTCGTCAGAGAATGAACTGAAAGCATATGCAGCAACTGATTGCGTCCATGGGTCTGGAACTGTCAAAAGCTGTAGCCTGCGCATATTGCGCATGAGCATTCGCGGCTTCAAAAGCTACAAGCGGAAGGTTGAGATTGGTCCGTTAAGCGACTTCACGTGCATCATCGGCTGCAATGGCTCGGGAAAATCGGTGAGGTCGATTCTGCCTGGTGTTGTCTCCCTGTCTTTCGAAAGAACCAGTGAGGGTAGGGAGATGCGCGGAGTGTCCGCGGCTCGGACTGTAACGCGCTCACTTTCAGGTGGTGGGAGAAGCGCTCGCCTTCGCGCTCGGCGCGTCCACTCGCAGCATGCGCGAGTCGCACGCCGGAGATCTTATCAACCAGGCGACGAAGCTCGAAGAAAGCAACAAGGCCATGGCTAAGGTACCGCTGGAAGAAACGGGAAGCACCGCTTACTGGCATCTTGACTGCAGTACAGAAGACTCGTACAAGTTCCTCTCACCTTGTTGCGAAAGCCACTATTACACTGGGGACGACGATCTTGTAGATGCGTCATGCATGTTCTGTGTGCGACGAGATTTCGTGTGTTTCTAATAGCCGTTCTCGAGTCGCAGGTATCTGTAGTTCTTTCTGTTTCGGCCACGAAGCCAGCGGCGAGTGTGGCAAGAAAGCAGGTGGAGGAGGTTCCAGGTCAAGAGCACATGGAAGGAGAGCCAAGAGACGAAAACGAACCTGGGACGAATGGTCCAGGCGAAGGGGTCAGTGACGTGGCGGGAAGCGAAGGCGAAGGTGGCGATGCAGGGTGTGGTGGCGAAGGGAAAGGCGATGTGGGGGAAAGCGTTGCTATGGGTGGGTGCGAGCAAGAGCAGGAAGGCAGTGAGGACAGTGGAAGCCAAGGCTCTGCTGCAGTCCCTTGTTCAAGCAGCTGTGAGGTGAAGGTGACACGGCGGGTGTGTGCAACAGGCAGCAGCGTCTACTCCATCACACGGGACGGCGTAAAGAGGTGTGTGTGCTTCGTGCCCTTCCATGCTTCCTCCTTGCGTGGTCTCAGCTTGTTTTGGTGATCCGTGCGGCTGTTTCACATCTGACTGGTGCAAACCTTGGCAGGACCGTGAACGCGAGCAATCTGAGGAGTGAGCTGCTGCAACTGGGCATTCGCACGGAGTGCATTGACAGGTGCAGCCGTCACCTCCCCACCATCCCTGATGTGCACGCAGTAACGTTGCATTACCATGCTGTGCACGCAGTAACGTTGCATTACCATGCTGTGCACGCAGTAACGTTGCATTACCATGCTGTGCACGCAGTAACGTTGCATTACCATGCTGTGCACGCAGTAACGTTGCATTACCATGCTGTGCACGCAGTAACGTTGCATTACCATGCTGTGCACGCAGTAAAATTGGATTACTATACCGTACCTGTTCTACCTGCATTACCATGAGGTTTCAGGATAAGGCAGTGCGTCCCTGTTGTCTAGCCTGCCTTGAGCAGCTGTCGTGCGCTCTCCCCTCGTGCGTGCAGGTTCATTGTGATGCAGCAGCAGCAGGCAGTCAGAGTCAAGGCGCCCACTCAACTCGTCAAGGTGCGCTGCATTCCTGCTTTCCGCCTTCTGCTTTCCACGATTACCAAGGAATTTGGACCACATGTATCTGTTTGTCCACTCCTCAGCTGCACCATCTTCTTGCCACGTCTCTATTGATATGGTTTTGAACCAGGAAAGGAAATTGTCCTACATGATTGCACTGACATGCTGATGAAGTTTTGCATCTACACCTCGGTTCTTGTCCTCACCCCACCTTTACCCGGTGTCTTCTTCTGCCTCATCATATCACTCTCTCGTCACCCTACCTCCCCTTCCCTTCCCCTTCTCCTTTCCACTCCCCCCTTGCCCCCTGCCGTTCGCGTGAGCAGTATGTGGAGCGGCTGGTGGGCACGGCGCACTTGGAGGAGGCGATAGAAGCAGTGGGCGTGGAGCTGCAGCGAGTGGAGGCGGCACGCGAGGCCGTGCGCTCGGAGCAGCAGCTGCTGCTGCACAGGCGCGAGCAGCTTCGACCCGCTGTTGACTGCTGGCGGAAGTATGCATGTTGGGATGGGGGTGGAGGGGATGGGGATGGGGATGGGGATGGGATGGGGATGGACATATGTATGAGTATGGGTATGGGTATGGGACTTGGCATGTGCTTTGGTATGAGTGCCTCCACCACAATCCAATATCATCCCCACTGTTTTTTCACCTTGCTGCACGCGTGTGGCTCTGGTGTTCCACATGCACTCAAAGATTTGGCTTCAGTGGATTCGTCTTCTGTGCCTTTCCTTGTTGGTGTGCTGGTGGGCTGAGTGCAGGTTCCAGTGCGACTGGCAAGAATTCCAGAAGCGCAAGGTGAGGGGCATGCATGTGGAAGTTGCTTGCACTATGTTATTGACGACTTGTGACTTTCCGATATCTGGTTCCTCGATGGCCATGTCCTCATTTTCCTCACTCATCCGTCTCACTAACGAAACTCGTGTGGGAGGGGGGGTCCAGAGGATGGCTTTAGCGAGTCACCTGCGAGGGCTGAGGAGGAGCAAGGAGGTGGCACGAGAGCGCATGAACGGGCTGGAGCGCCAGATGCAGTCCACGCAGAGCCAGAGCAAGGTGGGGCCTCTCTGCGCTCTCCCACCCATGCTGCACTGCACGCATGGCTCACACATTGCCCTTTGACATCCGTGCTGCCCCGTGCTGGACAATCCCTGGCTCAACCCAACTCATGCCTTGATGCCATCACACCCCACTCACCAAAACATGCACCCGCGTTCCGCATCAGCTCCTGCAGCCCCTCTTCTCTTGTCTGCATATTTCTTGATTCGCCCATGATTCGTCCGACTATGTGTGCGAGCACTGCTTTTCCCTGTCATATTTTACACCCTCCCTCCGCCCCAACCGTCTCCTCTCCTCGTGCCCACGGCAGGAAGCAGAGGATGCGATGGCAGCAGCACGGCAGCGGCACCTGGCAGCAGCAGCGCGCTCCACTCACGCGTCCCACCTGCTGGCAGCAGCGCAGGCCAGCTGGCAGCAGCAGCAGCTGGCGCTCGTGAAGGCCCAGGTGCGTGCATGGCATGGCACAGCCAAAGGGTGCTGGGGGAATCGGAGGAGTGTGGATCGATCGGGTTGACTTGGGGGATAGGAATTCCCAAGGGTATTTTGTTCTTCCCTTGGCACTCCCGCCACTGTAGCATCTGCAATGTCACATGGAGCAGTCAGTTTCGCATGTGCCACATGCAATGCGGTGCTGCACTAGGCTGTGTTGTTCATGCTTCATGCTTCTTGTGCTCGCACACGGTGACCACTGCTGCTACTGCCATGCACATGCATGCACCATCCCCACTGCCACTGCTCTCACCCGCCACGTGCAGGTGCGGGTGAAGGAGGCTAGGCGACAGCGCACACAGGCAGAGGCAGCACGGAGGCGCGCAGCTAAAGCTGCTGCTGGTCGCAGGGCGAAGCTGGAGGGCGAGAGGGCACGCCTGGGGAAGAGCCTGGCGCGCAGTGAGGAGATGCTGGTGCTGCTGCAGGGGCAGGCAGAGGAGGAGGAGAAGCAACTGAGGGCGAAGCTCGAGGAGTGTGGGTTTGGTGATGGGGACGGGGATGGGGATGGGAGAAGTGTGGCGGGTGCAGTGGCAGCAGTGGTGCAGTGGCAGAAGGATGTGGTGGCGCTGAGGGAAGAGGAACAGCACATGCAGGTGGGCGCTGGGCTGGGGGCTTGAAGGTGGTGTGCAATGAGCATAGATTCTGTGTGTGTGTGCGTGTGCACACTCGGCTCATAACTAATGCACCAGTTGGGCTCTCTGACTGTGCGGAGTGCGTGTGGATGGCATGAGTGGCTGGGTGCAGGCAAGGATCAAGGCACTGGAGGGGCAAGGGGCAGAAGCAACCAAGGGCATACAGGAGAGCGAGGAGAAGGTAAGCAAGTAAACATATCTGTTGAGGTTCCTTTAAAATTCTCGCTTCGCAACATCAATCCATCCTCTCTTACTATGGTAGGGGTGCTCGGCATGTCTCCTTGCACTGTGCGAGCATACAGGAGCTGTGTGCTTTTTCTCGTCGTTCCCCCTGGGGTCGTAGAGCTACCATCTATGAGCAAGCAAGGCTGTTCATATACAGTGCCTGACACAATTCCTGAGGCATTATAAAAACAGATAAATAACCTTTAGGCTGCACTCAGAACCTTCTTTCTTGCTTTCACTGACCATTCCCCTCTGGCAAATCCCACCCCTCTGACACGCCCTCATGCTGCAATGTTTCCTCGCGCCCGCAGCTGCACGGGCTGCAGCAGCGCGTGCAGCAGGCGGAGAGCAGGAGGAGGGAGCGGCAGCAGGTGGTGCGGGTAGCGCAGGAGCG